TCAAGAATCTAAAAAGCAATTTCTAGTAAATATTTAAAAAATTAAAAAATTACAAGGTTTGAAGAAAAAAGTTTTAAATTCAATAAAAAAAATGTTTTTTTTTTTTTCGTTGAGAAGTGTTTTTCCTGACCAACCTCGTATCTGCAAACTGGTAGTGGAACAACTTGGGTTACCAAATCAGCTAAGCCAGTTGTGATCTCAGAAACTTCCAATTGTGCGCTAACGGTCTTATCAGCTTCTTGGTAGAAGCATTGCACACGGTAGGCCCGATCAACCTTTGTGACAAAGAATGGGTGGAAGGAAATTACAACTGTTGTGGTCACGTAGATACCGCGTGGATTTAGAGATCTGGTTCGAGCAACGTTGCATGTGTCAAACGGTAAAGTTATGCCTGCAACTTGTCGACCACCCTCATCGTTACGACATCCCTCTTGATCATATAGACCTTTTACATAGACATGACCCTCAAATGGCTTTTGGGTATTGAAATTAATTGTTATCGAAGTCGGACCACATTCAATTTCTGGCTCACCTAAAAATAAAAAGTTTGCTGAAGTGACTTTCTAAAACAATTAGTAATAGTTTTTATACAATTAATTCAAGATTTGGCCTTTCATTTAGGTATTACCTATGCAAAAAAAAAAAAAAAAAAAAATTTATTTTTAGATTTTTAGAAGAAATATAATATCAGTTTAATTTGAAAAAAAACTTAAAAAATAATTATAAAAATAAAAGAGTTAATTGGTAAATCAAATGTATGAGTTGGTCCGGCAGTTGGTAGAATCCAGCATTATATTATACATCTAATGTGAATTATGCCAAAGGATATCACAAGTTGTATCGGAACAGAAAGCTGTTGGATGCGATGGGAATATGGCAAATTATTTGCCTCAGCTTAGGTATAATTCAACAGTAGTTTCTAATTTGCATCCAACGACGGTCTACCAGTTCCTTATATTCTAACTCTATTCAAGTACGCCGTACTTAACAGTAACGAGTGACCGATAAATAATGGTAACAAGTGGACGGTGATCTAGAAGAAGGCTTCAAACACGACAGGACAAAGCAAAACAAAACAAATATGGCCTTTAAATTATTTTACTCATAAAACAATTTCTGTTTACGAAATAGAGACAGTAAACAAAAATAAATTAACTACATCAGCCAGCACTAACTGGTAGGGTTGGTAGATAAAAGTAGGCGTATCGAAGGAGAGATAAATAATGAATAAAGCAGAACAAAAGAAAATAGTTAATGGATAAATTAGTCAATTGAATTTGATAAATTCATACTTTTCGAATTATAAAAAGTGATAAGAAAGCATGACAAAAAAGAATTGAAGGTAATAATAATGATAATAATAATAATAATAATGAAAATAATAATAATAATAACAAGAATAATAGATCTATTTTTTGTTAATTTGCTTACCCTCTATACCGTTATCAATTGGTACAGCGTTTGCAACGGATGCGCTAACGAGGAACAGAAGAAGTACTCGGAGCATTACTGAAGGCGCAAAAATAGACATGAAACATTGAATGCTCCGATACCTTTTATACGAATGCTGTGAATGCGGAGTTTCTGGATTTGGGTCAGGAGAACAGGCAATACAACGGCGGCGACGACCACCGCCGCACATACCCAAAAACGACAGCTATTTTTTTTTTTTTTT